CCCGGTGTTCGGGAGGTCATGGGTTCGATTCCTGTCGGGGACTCAGAATTTTCCTTTGTCCCACGCTCGTGTCATGTTGATTAATTCACCTTCACAAATAGGGTAAGGGTTTTGGGAAGTGGGCCGCATACCCCCGCCCAACTTTTCTGGGAGTACCCTCGGGTGTTCCGTTTCGTTCGTTCGTTCGTTCGTTCGTTCGTTCGTTCGTTCGTTCGTTCGTTCGTTCATTCATTCACTCAGAAGCAGTGTACCTTATGTCCATATACAAAGGTATTTTTTGCCTCCGAGTGAACTCAACAGGGGGTCACAATTTGAGACAGTCAGATTCTCGCTCATTGTTTTTTCCAGAACTTAATGGTGCTAGTTTCACTCGTCACGCCACTTGACTTGAAATTCCAAATGCTTATTCGCAACCCACCGGTTTGACAACCTTCCACCAGTTAAATCGATACAAATATTTCATTATTTCTATTCCTTCCCTCGGGACAGAAACGTTAAAGTGGCCAAACTTGACCTTGGGCAGCGGTTTCTGCACAAGTCTGGAAGGAAACCTATGGTAAAGTAGATAATGTATGCAAAGCAGCCATGGCTCGTACCCAGACCTCATCATGTAGCCTCCACGGTCATAATAGAGATATATGTCTACATTGGCACCACTTGATTTTGGTCTCAATGTCAACGACCCAGTTGATTTTAACTTATCAAATACTCTCACCCCTGCCTCCGAAAGTTTAGCTTTAAATTCTTCCCAAGTCATTTTCTGGAAGATCCCACTGCTTCCGTTAATTCCATAGTCCACGTCAAAGTCCCATGGGAGTGGCTCATGAATTCCACGCAGGGGACCCCACAGAGAGCCGTACATCAACCAGTGTTCCACTCCCAGGTTGTCCAATATTAAGTGAGTCTTGTAGGCAAGATCCATGAGAATAGCTCTGTATTCGTCGGTCTCGGAACACGGAGGTGGGGCAGCCCCTGGTTTGTTTCCCGCGTAAAGAGCGTAATCCAAACAACTGAGTCCAACATAAGCAACAATAGTTAAGACCAGTAGGCACTTCAACACCAGGCAACCTCTTCTTCTGACTGCACGGTATAGCAAACTATTCTGAAATGCCATCTCTTTTACAGCTTGTCCAGTCCCTAATCACGGAGAATCGAACAAGAACAATTTTGGAATCCTTTCTTTTATTGGTACAAATATTGATTCTCGTCATTGACTACACTATATTTTGCGCCTAGTATGGTTATACGGCAACTTAATAATGCCCGCGCATGATCGAGTAATCGCAGTTAAATTAAGATCTACATGTACACCACTCGTGATCACTGAAAATTCTTTCGAATTCTTTGAGATAATTTTCAATTTGATCACTTGTGGTGAAAAGGCCTCAGTTACACACGCATTCACACGATGGATACCTTTGCAAATTCAAGTACAAAGCGATAAAAAGTTCCCTGCATGTTTTTTATACTGCTGGCGTTGCTGCGTATAAGTCAGTACGAGATCGTCCACTCCCTTATATCTCTCCTATCCGCGAACGACCTCAGACCTTTTCAAGTTTCAGGTTGCCGGTGCAAGATATTCTGTTTAGCCTCTTCGTGCCTTAATTTTCTCTTTATTTTTTGTTTTGTTTTGTTTTGTTGTTTTGTTTTTTTGTTTTTTTGGGGGGGGCGGGGGGCGTTTTTTGCTTTCCGTGATTTCTTTGTCGCTGTGTAGCCAAATAACTAATTATGAATCAGTTATATCAGAACAGTATCCTCATTGACAACAAACCTACTGTACTGTAATGTTAACGTGATGGGTTAGATCTCGAGCGAGAGAAAAATAGTGTAAAACATAATTGCTACCTGATCAGTTTTTAAAATTCTCTGACTTCTACCTAAAAAATATTGATTTCCTTGACCAAATAAATAAACAATGTCAGATATTGTAGCGGTCTCCAGCCTCCCGTAACAGTCACTCTTTCCATCCACTCATCATCAAGAGACTGGTAAGTGTTCAACAAATTATATTCGCGTTCTTCATAAAAGAAAAAAAACTTGACGTCACAGTGACTTGAAATGTTTCTTCTAGCGTTCAATGTTATCAAGACAATGGTACATGTTTTAACTTCGATTTTCCCTGACTTTTCTTCAAAAGGTCATTACAGTATTTATATTTCCTGATTCTAAAAGTGGTATTCCCTGACTTAACCCTAACCTTGAAAAGTTTTTTCGCTGACCATTTCCTGACCTCTGGCAACCATAAATAGTTGTAGGAACTATATATAGCATTCAACCAAATAAACGACCGTTAAAATGTCTTAAATAATTCTTACTCTGATCTGTGAGTACTATATCGAAACAAATTAACCGCGATTAAACAAGGTAACTTACCTTTGCCAAAGAGCGAATTCAAAGAGTTTGCGGCCACCGTGATTTTCGGAATGGCGAGTATAAGGTGATCACGACTAAAACTCCACAAGGATTCTAAACTGACTGAAAAAAGCAAAATCAGTTCAGGCAACTACTATCAAATGACGATAGGGGTCACGGAATGCCCTGATTTATGAGTCACTTGTCAAATAATATCATTATATTGCCACTTCGGTTGGCCTACGTAATACTTCGGCAAGTACTCGAGTTATCCGTCAAAACGTCTCCCACATATTTCTCTAGAAGAGTTCAGTATGGACCAGGATGGAAATGCCTCAACTAGAACTGGCTAAAATGAGTTTTGGAATCGCTCGACATCAGTAAAGAAGGATGGAATACTCTCAAGAGGTTGGAATAAGGCTTTCCGTTAAAATTCTTTCAAAATATCAGACTTCCGGGCATTTAGTGGTTGTAGTCAGTAAAACACGACCGTTCCCGGCTGCCGGGCATGCGTATACAGCTGTTTCAAGAAAGGTTGTCCTACAAAAGTGCAAAAGCGTGAGCGACAATCCCGAAAGGTATTATGGGTAATGAAAGCTAACGGTTGCTTGATTGAAGCTAAAGGCATTTCATCATAACAGAAGGAAACAGCACAAACACGTATATTTATGCTTTTTCTTCCTGTTACTACCCATAATGCCAATCGGCATTGTCGCGTACGCTTTTACGCCTTGTGTGGGACAACCTTTGTGGAAACAGCTGTATTCGCCACTGCTAACGTGACACTGCGCTGAAATTTAGTCGCCGGAAATCAATGAAACTAATGGCAACACGTGGAGTTAACTTCTGCTCACACTCGAGAACTAGTAACCTTTCACATTAACACTTCTCCTAAACGATTAACTATCTACGGTGCTAAGAATCACAAGATAAGTCATTGTTTTAAATTTTTTAAAACATGCGTGACATCTTTCTATGGCATCTTGACTGACAGATATCGTGTTGTGCGAAAGTCGAAAATTCAAAATATTGGACTTTTATAATTTAAAAACAAAGGATGCTATCGCGGATCTGAAAACTTATTCCAGGATACATGTTTAGAATGTCTTTTAGCTGGTAAAGTTATTTTCGATTTTACTTTATAATTTGATAACGCCACGTAAAGGTCTTCGAGCGACCCACCTGTCAACTCGTGTTTGTATAACTCGATGGACACACAGAAAGTTTGCTTCAGCCGCGCCAAATATTTGAAGGACGTCACGGAAGATAAGAAGTTTGCAAAATACCGGTAGATTGGCTAGTTGGTGTTTAGATATTTCTTGCCAAAATGAAGCGTAAAAGACATAGTAGTTTCGGATGAAGATGGTACCGGCCATCAAACGGGCTAGACTGTCTTGAGTTTGAGTAAGCACCGCATTAGGAATGAAGCTGAAAATCCTATTATGTACATATTGTTGTTCTTAAAAAAGCAAACTTATAAACTTTATCCTCGATCAGAGAGTCTATTTGGGATTAGAGTAACCAGGTATTAAGGGGTCGAATTAAAAGCGAAAAATATTTCCAAGTTCGAATATACTGAATATGTCCAAACAAACATAACACTCTTTTTTACGTCCGACCTGATTTAATGTAAGAACGGTTAGTCTAGCTCAAATTTTAGTTAAGCTCAAATTTTAAGGAAAAACTATGGACGCATGAGGCTGGAGGACGTTTATTTTAATGTGCTTAGTCAGGTGAATTAAACAAGACAACTTACTGAAACCATGTAGCCAGTTTAAGTCGAATTCGTATAGACCTTGTTAAGGATATCCAACATTCCTCGGTCACTGATTCCTCGGTTTCTCTGTCAATTCCGTTTTTCGTCAAATGAAACTGAACGACAAAAACGTGGTGTGGCAGGCCAAGTAAGATGGCTCACATCTAGAAAAGATCACACTAGAACGATTCAGGTTGTAAATCTGACCGTAAGCTTCTGATTTGACGCATGGGTATGCTCGGATACCCTGTTTTTTATTTTCATCAGGCTTAAAATAGCGGATTTCATTGCTCCTCGAGAGATAAAATAACTCTTAAGTCTTTCAAATTGAATGGGATCAAATTTCCTCGCTAACGCACGAAAACAAAGCAATTTCACTGGCTAGCATTTTAATGACATAGCTACGCGCTGGAGTCTTTGATCGAATTTTCGCTTGCGCCAAAGTTCAAAGTTTCAAAACCTACCAGAAATGGCGTCGATGCGTTAAGAAAGGACTCCGTATATCACTGATCCCGCGTAATTCGCCGGCTAGAGCTGCTGAGGAACTAATTAACGTCTTAGGCAAGTACAACGTGGAGACGTTTATTAGCATAACATAAAATTTACAAGCCTGTTTAAGGACTTGTTTACCAACTGAATATCATTAATTCGGGCCACGGTCACGAACTGACAGCGCAACGGATTGGTGGAGGTCTTTTGACTTTTGACCCACTTAGCCTGGTGGGGGAGGGGGCGGGGGAAGCGGGGCGGGGGGGCTTGAATTGCTAACTGCATGGAATTACAAACTTTCCTTACTTCAACAACATTTAAACTATAGAGGACAAACGTTGCGCATTTTCTTATATTTTATCAGGAAACATTTGGGTTAGCCAATTGCCTGGTCGTGTAACTCAACGTTTCTGTGGTGGATGTTTGCGCTACACGGAACTATTATTATTATTATGATTTATGTCTTTGAAGCCGGTTTTTCGCCGAAATTTAGCGCTTTTTATTTGAAGCACGTGACACGGGCTCTTAGCCTAAAATTCAGGCGTATTTAGGTGAGCGTTATATTTGTTGGTTGGCGGGAAACAAGACAAATATCGGCAGAGAGCAAAACTAAGGAGTAAGGAGAAGAAGCTAAGCTGAATAACGAAGGACGGGGGAGGAGAGGAGAAAGAAAAACCTCTGTCTTCTCCTCGCCTCTTCTCCAAACACGTTCTGCCCTTTCAGTGAAGGTCACCTACGTAACAAAATTAACTAACGCTCACCCACCAAAATTAAAGCGCCGATACAAGGAAAACTGAAAAATATGTGGCGAACATAAACTTTTTTCCAAGAGAAAATCAGCTTGCTTGAGTTCACTTTCCAGTTGGAATAAATTACGTGCAGCAATTTGATGACTTGTGTTAACAAAAATGATGCAATCGGATGATTCGTTTTATCTTGAAAAACCGGGAAAAGATTGATCCGTTCAGGCATGTATGGAGTGAGGAAGGTTTTTGTCATCAACTTTTCACTTTCAGCCCACTCTTGGACGCTCTTGGAACTTTGATAATTTCGTCGACATTTGACTGTCGACATATTACCCTGGCCATGGTCCAGAGCCGGTTTTCTGCCCTCTGTGAGACACTGATTAAAATGAAAAAGCCCTCTCCGCGCGCGATCAAAGATAGAACTGAGAAATAGCATGAAATAAAAAAACAAGCAAACCTCATGAACCGGGGATATCTTTCCTCTGTGAGCCACTGATTAAAATGAAAAAGCCGTCTCTGCGCACGATCAAAGCTAGAACTGAGAAAAAGCATGAGAAAGAAAAAAAGGCAAACCTCAGGAACCGGGGATATACTCAGAAATTTGTTTTGAGTTGTCCCAATTTGAGCGTGAAAATTGTTGTCAGAAAATTAGCATACCTCTGTGTAGTTATGAATAACTTTCAGCCCTGACGGCACGGAATTCTAATCTATCAAATTTTCGCTTACTTTGAGATCAAAATCTACGGGAAACTTTGTAGTGCCAGTAAATTTAACTTTTTACACTGGGGTTCTTGGCCTAATGATCAGTTAAGCATGCTTACTCCATACGGGTGCCTGGAAAACCCGAATAGCGAATAGCGAATAGCGAATAACGAATACACGCGAATAGTGCGAATAGTCTCGAATAGTAGCGAATAGTGGCAAATAGTGGCAAATAGGGTACCCGATATCTCGCAGTCAACCTCACAGCAACGTAGGATGGCATTTCCCGCTAAAAACCACAGACGTTTATCAGGACAAAAGGTGTTCCTAAACGTAATTTCTTCTGTTTTAACGGCCGCAAAAGCGTAAATACGTCTTTATTAGGTTATCCTTATATTTTCGGTTTTCTTAATGTCGGCGATGGACAGCCCTAGCCTGAGTCCGGAGAAGAAAAGGTGATAAATTCACTGAAATTCTATTGCTTATTTGGATCACTGATTAATTAACGCAGGATATTAGATCTAAAGTGATGACTATTGATGTTATTAAAGGTAGAATTTTGAAAACGCAATAATGCTTCGCCTTCCTCGATGTCACCTACATTAAAATATCTACCGGTCACGGTTTGAGCATCACGTGAAAAGTTTAGCCTATTTTTTTTCAAGTTCGTCGTTTGTAATCCGTATTTATATTCTCTATCCTTAAGCATCCTTATTCCTTCGGGTGGCTCAGGTAATTATCTCTTTGGTGTTTTTCTATCTTTAGTCAGTGAACTACTATTATCAGAGTTTTCGACGAGACTGAAGCGCAGCACAAAGGAAGACCTCTTGTAGTTGTACGTGAGCTTTTCGTTTATTTCTCCCAACGCGTTTTGTCTCTAGCTGAAGCTTAAACCGATATTCTCGCTCAGAGATTTATTGACAGCAAAACTTTCCCTGTTTTAACTTTAACTTCTGTTGCTATTAGTGCAGTTTCCATGACAATGTATAGCACCTTGTGTAGTTACCAGGCTCAATTTGACGGGCATTTGACATGTTCCCACCATGGGGCATTTGCCAGCCTGCGTACGTAGCTGGCGGTATTGCAGGCGGGCGGAATAAAGTTTTGTTGTAGTATTGTAGGCGCACGGAATAAAGTTTTGGCGGCGGAGCCGCTAAAGCGAGCCGCGAAGCCGCGAGGAGAATGGGGAAGAGGACCCCTCGCAAAAGGCGGCTAGGCCGCCAAAACTTTACAGCGCGCGCCTACAATACCGCCGGCCACGCAGGCTAGGCATTTGCTAGCAAGGACTGCCCGGGGCTGGGGCATTTGACAATTTACTCAGATACAAAGAATTATAAATCGGTACTCTTTAAAAACGAAAGCCTGCTTTAGTAAATATCAAAACTGATTAATCCTACGTAAAGAACCCAGATGGAAATTATTTTTTCTGAGATTTAATTAACCCCTTGGAAACTAGTTAGTGGCCCACCGCCACTCCCAAAAATTCATTTTGGTCTACCATGCGCCAGAGAATCGATCGGAGCGAGAAGAGAGAATGGTGTGGATCGTTGGCCATGGTTGCATGTAAGGCAAATAGTAATACGATCCGTTTTTATTATAAAATTATTTTCATAAAAAATGGATCGTATTTTTGTTTAAAGGGATAAGCCTTCTCTCTTCCATATAAACATCGTCTTTGCGAGTTTGTCTTGCGGAGACTGGTGTGCATTATTATTATCATAACTTTTGACCATGTTTAAATCAATTTCAATACGCCTTATACAAAAAAGTTGAGTACATGAATAAATTCCAAGCCCGCTGATCCCCCATACAAAATCCCCATATGGTGGGGCCATCAGAAAAGCGCAAATGCCCCACCCATGGGATAGCGTCAAATTATGTTTCATAGCGACATTATGGTGACCTCTTGAGGATCCGTGAGGGCTAATATAACTTGTAAAAGCGTCTTCTATTTGGTAAATAGTTTGGTAAAGTTTGACATCTGAGATGGCATTAAACTACCGCCGGGCAAGTGTTCGCACACTGCCTGCCTTTATATTGCTGTAGTGTGTTTTGTGCTCCAGTGTTCTGACTTATTCCTTTAATTTAGGCTCCTAGTGGAGCTAAGGAAGTCAACAATGCTCCGCCAGCAGAGTCTGCTCGGTGCCATCTTCTCACGGCTGGCGTCGGCGTACTGGAGAGGGAAAATTATTTTCCTTCGTACGAACGTGGTGAGAAAGACAGAAATTCAACCTTTCTTTTTGCACGCTGGATGTTCAAATAGGATGACGGATGGCTGCTACGTATACACGCGTTGGATACTTAGGAATCAGTGGACAATATTCCTTCAGATCCAGGGCCCTGGCAAGACAATTAACGAACATAGCTTCTCTTCCAGCAATTTTGTCACGAGATCTCGTATCCTACTTGACTAGAAGTCAGGGACCACTGCAGCTGATTAAAGGGGAACGTTAATCTTTCCCTCGTGCATTTTTTCATACATTTCCCGTGCTTTCCTTCGCTCTCAGTCTATTATATCCTTATCTTCACCAATGTCCAGTTGCTTGCTCATTTCCTCTTGCGATCTTGGCGCCTTGCCCCTGCGCCTTGCCTTATGCCATTTTCCGTGGGTTCTGCGTGGTGTTCCGTCGTTGGTTCAGTTTCACGTTTGCTAATTTCCCTTCCAGTCTGTTATTATTTTCCAGTGGATCAATGAGTTCCCTCCAACATTCCGCTGGGAATTCTCCTTGAGCTCCCTCTTGCTTCCTTATGCATCCATATCCTAACCTTTCTCCTTTCTTTTATCAGATTTCCAACATTTCCTTGGAGGTCAGGATGGCTGGATAGTCTGGATATTGGCCAAGTCCTTTTTTCTGTGCTTATGGACCGAGACGAAGTCGATTTATAGCTTTTGGGCAAAAAAATTGCTTGCGGGACACAGCAGGTAGTCCCGAGCGGGCAAGACCCGCTCCGGTTCTTTGCCAGGTCACGAGAATTTTGTCACATGACGCACGGAGTAAAAAAACCGCGCGCGCGGAGTGCAAAAAAATACTTCAGGGTCCGAACTCACGCAATGGAGTGGACCTACACGTTTTTCGTTTTGGTTCTGTCATTGCTCCCAGAGCTCGGAAGGTGCCAGCAGGGATGCAGCGATATTCCAAACAACCTGCGCTTCGATTGTTACCCTGAAGATGGTGCAAGCGAACAGAATTGTTTGAATCGTGGCTGTTGCTGGAGGAAACCTTCCAGTGTCGGTGATGAAGTTCCGCTTGATATACCTTACTGTTTTTATCCCAGTGACTACGGTTATCAACTAGTGAACAAGGAGAAAACGCAGACAGGATATTTGTTAAGTTTGACAAAGAAAGGGCACGCTGGACCTTATGGCAATGATATCGAAAATTTGGCCGTGGATGTGAGATTTGAAGCTCAAGATCGACTTCATTTCAAGGTAGGGTTTGGAAACAACCTATATCTACACAACAGTGAATTTTGTAATCAATTGCCTATGAGCTCCCTTTCTTTATGTATTAACTTGTGTAATATTCTGGGGCCAATAAACCAGCCAAAACGTACTCGAAAACGCAACTCCTTTTAATAGACCAATTTCGATATATTAAAATTCAGCCTAAAACAATAGACCACAGCACGAGGCTCAGGGGGAATAACTACAGAGTTTGTGGGGTTTATTCCCCAGAGCCTCGTGCTGAGACGTCCATTGTGTTGACAACGTGTTTCATCCCACTGAACTCTGGAAAACTACTGGAGGATCGGTTACACAGCTCACAGCATTCTTTTCCACAACTTGATAGGAAAATCGTGCACAAGTACTTTTCCTATATTTACATGTATAGGTTATCAGGTTTCAAACGCATGATAATCTTGTGATCAATCGCAGTCAACTTCCTGTTTATGTTTCAGTCCCAGGCCTCTTTTGTAATCTAAAGATTTCGAAAGATCTTGTACTGGGAGTGATCTAGCATGAGAAGAGTCTTTACAAAATACAGTACAGTGTACATACATGTCAGACATTTCATGCATAACCCTCAATAGTGGCCCTTCCATTTACCTACATATACTAGGAAATATTTAATTACCGTTATAATTAATTTTTCGAGATCCCAAAAATGTGCTGTGTTACATGTCTCTGTCAAGAAAGGTTGAACCATGGGTCAGATATGCTCACATATATGGATGGCCATCATTTGGCCTGATGGTCTAGTTTTTGAAGCACATGAGGAAAATTAATACAGTGTATGCATTGTATCAGGTTTGCAGAACTGGCAATTACCTATATTTTTGTATGGAGATAGTAAAAAAATTTGACATCTTTGAGTGAAGGTGTATGAAGCAGTTCATTCAATACAAATAGCCAAAGGCAGGACAATGAGGGTGGCTGGAAAACCCAAATAGTGAATAGCAGATAGTCGCGAATAGCGAACAGCAAATAGTCCCGAATAGCGAATAGTGTGAATAGTGCGAAGTGGCGAACAGTCTCGAATAGCGGCGAATAGTGGCAAATAGTGGCAAATCGTAGCAAATAGGATACACAGTATCTCGCAGTCAACCTCTCAGCAATGCAGGGTGGAATTTTCCCGCTAAAAAGCACAGACGTTTATCAGGACAAAAGGTGTTTCTAAATGGAATTTCTTCTGTTTTAACCGCTGTAAAAGCGTTAATACATCTTTATGAGGTTATCCTTGTGTTTTCTGTTTTCTAATGTTGGCGATGGACAGCCCTAGCCTGGGTCCGGAGAAGAAAAGGCAATAAATACTGAAATCAGTTCTGTTGCTTATTTGGATAATTGATTAATGCAGGATATTAGATCTAAAGCGTTGACTATTGACAACTATTCATCACTATTCGCCACTTTTCGCGACTGTTCTCCACTATTCGCACTATTCGAGACTATTTGCACTATTCTGGACAATTCGCTATTTGCAACTATTCGCTATTCGCTATTTGGGTTTTCTAGACACCCGGACAATGAGGTTTCCAATGATGCAAAATTATGAATATTAAAGCTTCACAAGAAATCATAAATTATCCCAGGCAGCAAATGCTACTGAGTTGTACAAATTTTGCTGGGTTAAAACTTTCCAGTGGTCATTGCAGTGTAGGTCAAAGTAGATCTTGAAGAATACTCCAACCATGTGTATGTAGAGATGGTTATCACAGAGCACATCTGAATAATGTATCCAAGCATAGCAATATTTGTTAAGCTAGGATCAAGACAATCTATCTGCATATCTGTGTCTTGAACAACAAATTGAATTAAAGGGCCTACAGGTCATAAATATGTGAATTTACTTGGAGGACTGAAACAGATACATGTAGTTCATCTTGAAACATACATCTAATCCATCTTTAATTCATCCATAGACACATAACTAGATACACAGAAAATTACTTAATCCATTTAACCTAGGGTTGAGGGGTATAAAGTGCTAACAGTATGACAATGTCAATTTTTTCAAGAACAGTATTTACTTGTGAGCTGTAGGGTTCAAACAAACTTTTTGACCTTTCCTAAAAATTAATAACATATTTTAAATAATATCACTGAGCTGTGCTGTAGTGCCCATAGTATTTGAAAGGCTTTAACTGTAAGAAAAAGAGACACTGACTCGGTAATTCTAATTGTTTCAACAAGCTTTTTTAAGCTTGTTGAAATAATTAAACGTTTCTAAAAACTTTACAATGCTCTTTCCGCAGGTATTTGATCCCAATAATAAAAGATATGAAGTTCCCATTGAGACTCCCAAAGTTGAAAAAGAGGCGACTACACTAGACTATACTGTCAGTGTCACTAATTTTCCATTTGGCATTGCTGTGACACGAAAATCTACCGGAACTGTTCTGTAAGTTTGTTCATAAAATGTATATTTGTCTGTGTACTTTAGTTAAGATGTGCAAAAAGCACCAAAAAATAGCTTCTGATTTTATTGATGAACCCTTACAAGTAAATGTATACATACATTATGTATATTTTCATGATCATTATTTAAATATTACCAGGGCTCAAAAATAGTGCCATCTGGTTGTTCGGGACATGTAGATTTTCTTGCTGGGCGAGTAACTTTTCATTCACACTTACCTGATGGGCAAGGGTCTAGGCAAGTCATCTTTCAACTGTTATGTAGCAAATAAAAAAAGTATACTAAGACCTGCCCAGGGCAAGCAAAGTTTGAGAGCTGCTTTTCCTGAGTTTTTTCAGGCACTGATTATAGCCAGTTATGCAATTTGTGTTTACTAAGTTGACGTAAAATATTCTGTGTTTAGTTTCAACAGTTCAGTGGGTGGAATGGTATTTGAGAACCAGTTCATTCAGTTGTCGTCACTATTACCCTCAAATGTTCTGTATGGTTTGGGTGAACATGTTGTCCCACTACAACTTGACATTAATTGGACCAGATCGACTTTGTTTTCCAGAGACCAGGGAGGCACTCCTGAGGTACATCAATGAATTGCATTTATGCTGTAAATTGAATTGATTTTGTAAAATACTGTCCAATAATAATATTGACCATGAATGTTGGTTTTATCCTCTAGAGGTTTGCAATTAAGAGGCTGAGTTGCATTTCAGACTGTTTCTCCCTAGGCAATGATATGCACTTGTTGCCTTAAGAAAGCAATTAGAGCTGATCATCTTCAACAATGTGCTGTTCCAGTAATTAAATATTGATCGTACCCTCCTAATGAACTGTTTTTGGTGTGAATCATCCACTTCCATCACTGCTCCCTCCCCCTCCCCCTCTGCCCCATTTTACACCTGTGGCACATGCTAGTATTGAATTTGTTGGAGTGGTTGGATGTCTCCAGGGAGATAAGAAAGTGAGCATACTAGTGTGTGGTCAGTTTGTGTGAAAGAACGCCTTGCTGAAAGTTGGATATTTACCAGTGATGAAAATTGTACTTGTCATTGAACAGGCAAGTACGTTAAACTGGGGCATCGGTGTTATGATAATCCTAGCCCTCATTCCCTTTATACTGAAAATATAAGGATCTTGTGTATTAAAGGTATCCACGGTCGAGTGTCAATCGATACCCTTGATCAATACTTCATCAACAACCCAATTGATACTTGGTCGACACTTGATCGACACTTGATCATCAGTCGGTCAGTAGTCAGTGCCAAGTGTCAAGCAACTCACATGCATCAATCGAAAATTAGTCGACTGTTGACTGAGATGTCGATGGAGAGTTCATCACGTGTCAACCGAGGTATTGATGGAGTGTCGATCAAGTGTTGATCAAGTGTTGAACAAGGGTATCATTCAAGGGTATCGATCAACACTCAACTGGGGATGCCTTTGGTACACATGTTCCAAATATAATCCACTGTAGGAACAAATGCTTACAGTTTTTAATTTGTAACCTTTCCAGGGTCTTGATAAAAATTTGTATGGTGTTTTCCCATATTATCTGTCAATGGAAAAGGATGGAAATGCTCATGGAATATTTCTTTTGAACAGCAATGCAATGGGTATGTTTGCTTTAAATTTGTTCCCAGTAGGCCATATTCGTATTTTTTGGTGTTGGACTAGAACTACATGTACATTGTAGCTTGCACAGCAATGGAGGCTCATGTGGGCTCACGTGGGCTCGTGTGGGGGAATATCATTGAAGTATGGGTTATTGACCAAGTGTGAGGTCAAGATGGCTGGATATTGGCCAAGTTCTTTTATTTGCGTGTTTATGGACCAAGACAGAGTGGGGTCCATAAACTCGCAAAAAAAGAACGAGGCCAATATCCAGCCATCTTGGCCGAACAAGCTTGGTCAATAAAGGATTTATTATATGGCTTTCAGGAAATTTTTCTTGCAGGACACGGTGGGTAATCCCAAGCAGGCAAGATAGCTCCATCTTGCCCGCTCAGGTAGCCAATCACAGCATTGGATTTGATTCATCTTGCCCGCTCACGGTGCTAGCCATGTAATAAAAGAGATTAATGTCATTTGCATTTGAAAAGATTTCCCCACATTAACCTCAGTTGCAAGCTGGTTCCAGTGATGCAGCTCAGATAGCCAGCCTTTCAAGAGCAGTGTACTAAGTTTTACTGACCAGTCTAAATTAATTCCTTACTCCCACAGATATTCTTCTGCAGCCTACTCCTGCTATAACATACAGGACCATTGGAGGAATTCTTGACTTCTATGTTTTCCTTGGCCCAACTCCAGATTTAGTTGTCCAGCAGTTTACAGCAGTACGTGTCATAACTTATGTTTAAACTTTTCATAAATGATTGAATAAATAAATATAAATAAATTATAATATTAGGGAAGAAGCCACATCAGTCTTGGCTGGTTTTCATGCGGGTCCTCTATCCTGGTTGAATTGGAATTTGGAATGTTGGTTTTTGTGGAGGGAAGAAAACCAGAGAACCCGGAGAAAACCCTCGGAGCAAGGCAAGAACCAACAACAAACTCAACTCACGTATGGCACCAGGCCCGAATCGAACCCAAGCCACATTGGTGGGAGGCGAGCAGTCTCACCACTGTGCCATCCCTGCTCCCCTCTCCTCCTGTTCTTGGGGCAAAGTTAGATTTGAATTCTGGAGTACATCATAAGTTGATCATGAGATGCCCATTTTGAAACTGATGTCACTCAACATCTGAAATGCTCAGCTGTAGTTCTTACAAAACAAAAAGAAATAAAGCAGATCACCACGCATTGATTTAAATTACTTTTTTAGTTACTCAGGGAATTTTTCTGTCTGTTTTCTGCCAGGACTATTTATTCAAGTGAATATATGAAAGATCATATATTTGAACTGCGGAGAAAGACATGAAGACATGATTGATCATCGCAGTTATGTACACAACTTAAGCAGTCATGAAATTAAAGCCTGAAAAAAATTTCAGGCCTGAACGGGATTCGAACTGATGACCTCTGGTATACCGGTGCAGTGCTCTACCACCTGAGCTATCAAGCCAACTGGGAGCTGGTCACTTTGCACTAGTATTGCAGAGGTCATGGGTTCGAATTCCGTTCAGGCCTGAAATTTTTTTGGGCTTTAATTTCACGACTGCTTAAGTTGTGTGCATAACTTCGATGATCAATCATGTCTTTAGGAGTATTTACCTTGCACACAGTAAAGAGAATGCGCCAAATGATTCTTGCTCAAATTAATTATTCTGGCCCAAGTTTGATGGGACTGCTGAGGATATTTTGGTGGAGCAAAGCAATAAATTGAATTCTTTCAAACATGCTAGACCTTGCATTGAAGTCTCGTACATTGTGCATGTAATCGTGTTATTTTTACCAGTGGAGGGGGATGGTTGGGGGACAGTAGTCAGCAGTGAAGGTGTCTAGGAAATATGGGAACATTTTTTGGACAATGTGCACTGTTCATCTGACATTTGAACTTTGACGGGCCCATATTTTTTGTGGCAGCCATTGTTGAGAGGACTAGACGTGGGGTGAGTTCTGTGTCAGATATTTCTTTTGTTTCATTACAATGAATCTTTTATATTACTCAAAAATTATGCAAGATACTGCAGTGCAGTTTAGAGGGGAAGGTACAGAATTGTATTGTTCACATGATTGGGCCATTTTAAGGGATAAAATGTAATAGTATTTAATACTGTTACACTCTGGTAGACCCTAACCTTTATTGTCAACAAAACATTTTGTTTACTGTTTTACATCTTCCTTGCCTTCAAGAGTAGACTACAGTTGAACCTCCCGTACACGACCACCCAAAATGCCCAGGCTATGTGGTCGCTGATGGGAGGTTGTTGCTTACAAGAATTTAGACCATAATGGGTCAAAATTTTTCCTCGTTAGAATATGGTGAGTCCTGAGTCTTACCCAAAGTGCCAATGCCAATGCAATGTTTTATTGATGGAAAAGTTAATTTTGAGAAAAAATTTCATTTGGCTCTTCCCATTAAGAAATTTCCATTTCTTGTACCAGCCAGGAGTACGATAATGTTACAACACCTTGTTATCCAATTTTCACTCTTATCTGTCAAGTGGTCGCTCACGTGAGGTTAAAAACAATGAAAATTTCAAACTTTTAGCCCTAAAAGCGGTCACTGTTACTTGCGAGAGGTGATCGCCTACAAGAGGTTAAAAATATAGGGATTTGACTTGGAAACTTTTACGAGTAGTATTTTGGAAAACTGGTTGCTGAGGAGAGGTGGTTGCAAGTGGAGGTTCGGCTGTACTTAAATGTTGACTGTACAATTTGAGAGTTCATTGTAGCTTAAAGGCTTAAAACACTGAAGCCATTCAACACCCAGAGAAACCTACTGTAGCTGTCATTGCTCATTAAAATAAAATTAATGATTTTTTTTTTTTTCATCATTCTAGGTGGTAGGTCTTCCATACATGCCACCATACTGGGGTCTAGGGTTTCACCTGTGCCGCTGGGGTTATGGAAGTTTAAATGGTACCCAAACAGTGAATGAAAACATGAGAAACTATAGGATTCCTCAGGACGTCCAGTGGAACGATATTGAATACCTCAATGAACGTAAAGACTTTTGGGTTGATCTGGACTGGAGGGGGCTGGGAGACTTTGTGAACAAACTACACAACAGTTACAGTCAGCACTACATTCCTATAGTGGTGAGTATTTTAATTCTGTAAATGTATCTACATTAGTAGACAATGCTTATATGACTACCAAGTTGTGAATTTGGGTATGGTGTATTAAAATTAATTTTAATTAGTGATCACTGACTTCACTCAGGGTTGAAGCTAAGAAAATACAGTACTCTCCCGGTAAAGATTGTCATTGAGCCGGTCACCATTTTTCGCGAGAAACCTGGAACAAAACATAGAAGACTTTCTTTCACAAAGAAATTTGGTCACAGTGTCTGATCTAGGATTTCACTTTAAGGGGACAATCTGTCCCAGTCAACGTTTTTCTAGGGGACATTCCAGTTTTTTGGGGGACACACTGTTTTTTGCTTTTGAGAAATTAAAAAAAAAAGTCAAGTCAGCATAATGACTTTCTTCGTGGCGAGTCAGTGTTAAAGTTCTGAAATTAATGCAGCCAGAAATGAAGAGATTTGCTTTGCTAGACCCAATGCAAATCAAACACAACATACTCTTTGTGTTATCGTGTCGCAACCACTTGAATTTTTTCAACCAGGTAGATTGAAAGTTTCTCTTTGATGCTTTGGCTTTCAGTTCGACAAAAGGTTCACGTTCATCAGTATCACTCAATTTATCTTTGTCAATGTTGTCGGTTCTGCTGGTTTCCGTTTGCGGTCTGTGTTCTTCTCTTTTGTTTTCTTGACCAAAGAATGATAATATTCTTTTCTGCTTTGACATAACAATAATATAACAGAACGACAAAGAAAACAACGGAAATATCACATTGTGTTTCATCAATCAAGCGTGAAAAGTAAGGGGTTTGCAATAGAAGAATATATTCTACATGTTCCCAGGAATCTCATCTCAGCCTCTGGCAGCCATTTTTATTTGTCCATGTCGTAAACATTCATAAAACGTACACTGTTTTATATTGTCAATTCTATGAAACTTTAAATCACACAATGTTTTCGAAAAACTTAGGAAACGAAGGAAAATTGCAAGTCAGTAGCTACAGATGTTTGTTAGGCCAAAATGACCCACAAGACAAATATTTGGGGACATCTTCTATCGAACTGCGCCAATCCCACAATGGCACGCTCTAGATCAGACACTGGGCAGCTGAATGGAGCACAAACTTTTCGACAGTTAGCACATCTAAAACGTCACATACCGATTCGAAGTGAAACCAGTGGATCAGTCTCTTGAATCTTTGAATTTAGAGGTAATTTATTTCTCTTTTGGGCGGTATTTTAGATGTTAAAAAGTATTTCTGTCACACGGCCGATTAGCGAAGTATTCTGACTTGCATTTGATTTACTGCAATGTGAAATGATTTACAGTTTTGTTGACACAGGCCCGCACAATTTATATTTCACGTGCATCGATCAGGTTTGTGTAAGTTTATATTAAGACAGATGTTTAAACACAGTTCCTTAGCATAGTCATGAATTATATTGTGCAAAATGGTGATAAAACATCATTTTATATTGCAAGCAATGTGCTGTGAGGTCAATTCAGGCAACATGCAACAGCGAAACAGTTTTACTTTGAGGGTCTGGAATTGAAATCAGAGTGATATATAATTTTATATATTTCGTTTGACCTGTGTGAATGTCAGAATAGGACTGGAGAATTTCAAAGGTGTATTTGCCTGTGTGTGGTTTAATATAGCAATGATCAGTGATCGCCTGTCTTTTGCTTCAGTTGAGATCGACACAAATTATTTGTTGACTTTACCCCAGTGGAAAAGTTTCTGTCACAAATTGTCACCTGAGCAGCCCCGACCACGGTCTCTCTCCCAACAAAAAGGGAGGCAGAGGAGAGAGAACCTGGGAATGAGGTTGTAATCTAAACAAGAGATATTACAATATACAAGTTAAAAATGGAAGAATACAAATTTTAAAAAGTACATGTAAACTCTCCTAACTTCATCTTAAAAAGTAAAATAGATTCAGGTTGTTAAAATCTTTCACAGGCTGATAAGTTAAGTTTCTGTTTACCCCAGTTGGTTTTGGGGGCAGGCAAATGGATTTTCACAGACTAGAGGGTGTCATAGGTGTGAAAGTTTGTTTGTTTGTTTGTTTGGTAAAATGTATTTATGAATTTTAGTATAAAATGTATAAATTATGAATGGAAACTTGCAAGGGGATAACTGATGAGGCAAAAGTTGAAGTATTATTTCTGCTGTTTTCCAGGATCCTGCCATATGCTCCCAGCAGACATGGGGTTCTTATCCTCCTTTTGATGATGGACTTGCAATGGGCATTTTTATCAATGATTCCAGTGGTGAACTAATTCATGGCAAGGTTAAAATCTTGGATATGTTGTGTTATAATCACATATACAGTGCGATATTGTTATGTACACTGGAAATGTAGATTTTTACAAGTTCTTTAGACATTTCATGCATTAAGGTGGTGCCCAAGTGGGTGGAGGGTGGCGGGGGAACCGGGACTTCCGTAAATTTGGGATGCATGTAGGTGTGTGCCGTGGAGGGTCTTAAAACCTGACCCTATTTAAGGATGAAGCAAGTGAAAATTATTACGTGAACAGGTTAACTTTATTTCGTTTTTGTAAAATTGGAAGTTAACAGATAGTTCAGTTTTAACAGATCATTTGTTTTTCATTTAGCTGGACATTTACACACTGCATATTTAGCTGATATACGATTATAGTTACCCTATCGTAGGATCACACTGGGAACACAATGGTAACAGGGGCAAAATGATACCTTATTTAAGGATCAAGAACCTCAAAAACCATGCCCTACCCCATGGCAAATTCCTATACAGCCTGCATATGGGAGTAACCCCCCCCCCCCCCCCCCCCC